CTGTAGGGCAGTATTACCTGAGTGCCGTCTCCATGTTCCCCTGCCAATCCTCAAGGTTTAGCACTTGCGTCGATCCCGCAACGAAACCTGTACACGCGCTTAGCAGTAGATTATAACAAGAAGTGAAAGGGCGCAGACAAGCAGCGCGTTTGGCTCTGGTTAGACGTATGGATAGCCATGCGGCAGCGCAACCGGAGTATGGGTATCGCTGGGTATCGCTGGGTACCCTGGGTATCGTTACCCTCCAACCCCGTTCACGTTTTCTGTTGACTGAAAAATGGTACGTTATTGCAGCTGCGGACCCATTCACCTCACTTATGGCATGGACCACATGACCGGAGGAGAGCGTGCTGTTCGTCTTCAGAATGCACTACGCCTTTAACTCCCATACAGGATCGTTTTCGTATTTAACACTTTGCGTACCGCCGTACTGCGCGCATTCCCGGAACATTTTATCATTTTTCATCAGTATTCATGTGTAATTTCTTCCCTCTTTCCAGTCCCTTATGAGACATGTACCTTCCGTAACCGAGGACATGTTTTTACAACATTACAGTATGAAAGAAAAGCCAAATTAATCAAATAAAACAAGGCATAGAGACAAATGTATGACACACCATGTGTGTCACGCGGTCCGGAACGTGTTAAAATGGCCTGGCCTTCAGAGGACTGGAGTCAGGGCCATATGCGAATGGGAGCGTTAGTCCCTCAAAGACGACTGGTACCGAATAACCATTCGGAGGGGTAATGAGTTTGATCCAACCCGACGCAATTCCATACAGGTCTCATCGTCAGACTTTGCGCCAGGTAAACGACACCTCTTACTATCACAACATCTCTGCCTTTTGTAATTCCCACTGGCTGCCCATCATTGCTCTTGAGAACTCAAATAAGGAAGGCTGTCGAGCCTCACGAAAGACTTTATCTTACGGGTACACACACAGCTATGGAATTTTTGGAATGAACTAAATGAAAACCACCTGGAAAATAGTAGAGGCCATTTGAATTTAGCAAAGGACACCACTTCTTCCTTAACATGATGAGGTGACTGGGAATTGCCGCCGAACTTCTGCAACAAAGCGGTTAGTTGTACGATTTTCAGAAGAATCAAGGCAATCGTGTATTTCGTTACCCTTCGGTACTGATGCATAATCGCTTGAATCCATCGCTCCTTGGCCATTTCCGTGCCATTCAACTCAAAATCGGGCAAGTAATTGTGCAGTTGACTTTCTAGGCGATTCACGTCAAGGAGGCCTTCTTCGATGAAGTACTGTTGTGCAGCGAGAGAAGCGAGGTCATCCTCCTGAACGTGTGCATTATTCCCGTGAGTACTGTAAGTATTACGGTAACTCTTACCTTATCACATCGGTATTCTCCATACTTAATACCTCGAACGACTTGTTGGTAAATGAGATTCGTGCTGATGGGATCGTCCCTGAAACGCCTTCTTCCACCGCTGCAGTCAAAAGCCTTTAAAACGGAAAACCTACTTGGCATCATGCCAAGGCGTAAAGATTTCCTTTCGGAAAAACAGCCTCCAGGGTGCATTCCTTTCCTGTCGACCTTGTTCCTTGGCGTACTGTTCACACTGCGATATGGCATCCATCACATGGTCCGATCCCGAGCCGAGAGATGACACCTTCAGGGGTTATTATGAAGAGGATCTCCGGGAGAATTTCAAGGAAAACGCTCACCTTGTCGAAAAGTGCAATGTAGAGACTGAGCCGAAATTCCTCCGTTGACAGGCCGATTTTCTCGCTAAGAGCTGTACAGACTTCAGCAGCAGTCGTGGCACTGTCTGCGCTTAATGTCTTTACTGAGCCGTCCATAAGAGTGACAGCCAACACGATCTGCTTCTTTGCCTTGTTCGCCTACAAAATCGTGGCAAAACTGATTGAATAGCTTTCTTCAGTACCAATATCATCAGAATTTCTCTGAATTCGATGGTGGATTTAGTGGTTCAAAAAATTCCAACAGATTTTCAAATTCCCGGATACGCTTACGAAGTAAGCGGAAAGTGGAGGGGGGGGGGGTGGGGTACACGCACGAAAAATGCTTTTTTGGCACTCAAATGGTAGCAGCTTGACAAGCGGAGTTGTGCCGTGAAAAACACCTCGTGAACCCCGAAGACATTGATCAAACAGTAGGGCGACTAGCACTTCCCAGTGCCAACAACTAAAATTTTTCGACGGTTTTTGAGAAACTGCCTGCCTACCACTGACCCAAGCTGCAAATTATGCAATTGCTTTCGGCTGTCAGGCTTTTCTTGAGCTGTCCGGGAAGGTGGACGGCTTAGCTGCCCCCCAGTAGGAAACAGTAGACGACTGCTTGATTCCTGGGGAGATCGGCAAGAGAAACCGTAAATTTGTCGCTTCGTCGCGCAGCGCAGCAATGGGCGGCGAAACGTTCCTTATTTGCAGTAGCCGGTTTGCAGAATGGTGCGGCAAATGGGATTTTCTGAGACAATGGACACGGTGGATCAGTTTTATGTCTATTTTTGGTGATATATTGGTCTATTCTCGCCAAATCCCTAACAATCATGCGTAGCACGCAACGCCCACTGCTCGGCGAAATTACGATTCTGCTTGCGCACATACCCCTGTCCCGAAGCCTTTATTTTGCGCCCCTACCCTTCTTCGTCTAACCATAGGTAACGTGTTTACGTACCGAAAGGGAATTGCATAAAGCAAATTGTTTAGGCCAAATTTTGCTTACCTGAAGCTCGACGTAGCTGGGCGGTTGGTGTCGACACCCATTCTGTTCGGTTCGTCTCAATCGCTCTTCCATGTAGGCCGCATATCCTGCGCCAGTGGGACCACGTTCCCGAATAAAGCAGTACAGATACTTGATGAAGCTGAATTGATAAGTGTACCGTAGGTACATTGATAACCTCCTAGCTAGGAGAAAACCTTCTGCACTGGTCGAGATTATCCGTGAAAGACTTACCGAGGACTAGGAGCGAAGCATCCAACGCACAAAGAGAGTAATATCCACCCTCGAGCCGCTGAAAGCCTCGATGGATTAGCGGTGAGCTGCTTACAGAGCTGGCAGTAGATCTCATCTCTGAAAGGTAAACGTGGTTACTTCGTCAGACGGAAACCTTCTTTTTCCACTCTCTTACCTGAGTTCCTCTCGTAGTATTCCCATTCCGATGATGTAATGCAACTTATCGAGTGAACTCATCGGTCTGTTCTCCATCAGCGCATTCGACGATGACGAGGAGTCCGTAGAACGGTCCGATGAAGAGGAGCTCATACCTGAAGTGGCTAAAAAATTGCAATAAAGTGCTACTACCTATGGAATTATGCCACGTCTCACCTGAAAGCTTCGTTTTCCTTTTCAAGGTCATGGATATAAGCTTCTTGCCCATGCTTTTCTTCAGCGTCCGACCAGCTCCGTCGAATTCTTCTGCCTGAGCGGCTTCCTCGACATCACGGGCGGTGTACTTTCTTCCCAATGTTTCAAACAACCGGCTCATTATCGGTGTTTTGTCCTGAATGGGAAATTTGACTTTCTGAGGCCACCTAGTCAGCCCATGCTGATAGTGAGGGTGCCTCCTAAGCGCGATTTTTCGCAAGCCTGGGAAGGGGGCGAATTTTGGTCGGATATAGTTAGCAGTCTTCAAAGCAGGGCACGTCCTACGCTGACGCATCCCAGGTGGAGATGTTCAGACACGTTCTGTCAAAAAATAGTTGAACACACCCATAACGCTCTGCTCCAAAAGGGTTTTGACCATCAGGGTCATATCTGGTTGCTGAAATGAGAGGGGTCGCATTTGGATCGAGAGGATTCTTTTCTATAGCTGTTTTTTCGTGTTTGACGCGCACTATCCACAACCAAACCTTGAAACACACATACTGAGGAGGCGGGAGAGGGGGGGGGGAGGGGCGATCGTGTCAGGGTTTAGCTAAACTAGGGAGTCTAAAAACTAGGGAGTTTTGGAAAGTTCAGAAAACTGGGTATTAATCGAGAAAAGTTATTTGAGATTGTAGGCAGCATGTGAGGTCGAAGAGGAGGATAAGGTTACAGGAGGAGAAAATGGGGAGGAATGCCGGATTTTGCAAAGATTCTTCCCAACGACAAAGAGGGCCCCGCTTGAAAGGCCAAGAATCAAGGGCCGATCAGATGGATATCGAGTATAAAGCCCTCCCTTTCACGTGACAGTGGGCTTGTGCGCCCGATTCCGCCCATGTAGCGAGAATGAAATACGTCTTCAGAGTCGAACCTCGAGATAGATTCCGAGAGACTAACACCTGACGCTATTATGTTTTTTTTTCACAATTTCTCGATGCTACCTGGACTTATCAGTTCTATTTCGGAGGACTCCCGCTCTTACATATGCTAGATTCACCCCTCTTCCCACATCCGCGTGTTTTCCCTCCCTTTCACGTGACAGTGGGACTTGTGCGCCCGATTCCGCCCATGTAGCGAGAATGAAATACGTCTTCAGAGTCGAACTCGAGATAGATTCCGAGAGATATAACACCTTGACGTATTAATGTTCTTTTTTCACATTTCTCGATGTACCTGCGACTTTCAGTTCTATTGTCGGAGGGACTCGCTTCGTATATTCCTAGTATTCACCCTCTTCCCACATCCGCATGTTTTCACTATTATTTTTCGCGCTATCCTGTTTAGATTGGGACGACTTGTAGGACAACTTACCGCCCCAGACTTTCTCCGTTGTTCGAGCTTGTGTTTACACTTCTGGTAATCTCCCATAAATCGCAGAATGGTTATCCACACAGCCATCGCTGCCTAGAAATAAAGCACAATCACGGTGGATCCTCACTGAGCGACCAGTTCGAGCTCACAAGTTTGCGTTTGAGGCAGTCTTGGCTGAGTCAACCAACGGTGACTCAAAGCTTTTTCGAATTGCGTTGGAGTTGATCTGACTCTATGGGAAATACGTGGCGGCAATTTCCCAAATTGATACTTCTCAGGTTTCTTCCCTCATTTTTTTACGGCTCTTCAAATGGCTGGCAGCCTGAAAAAATACGTGGTGCTTTTTGCCCTTAAGAGGTATACTAGAAAGAGAAATAACCTGTGGAGGGTTAGAGTCAACACTAACGCTGCTACCGGAGACGTTGTCAGGGATTGTGTCCAAACGAGAATCGGGTGGAAGGAAATCGAAGAGTTGTCCGACCTGAAGGAAAGAAAGGTTGAGTATGAGGAAAAGTTCAGGAGGACTGAAAGCATAGCCGAAGCTGCGAATCATGCTCTTCGAGAGGTTCATTTTGTGCGCCGTGCCCTTGGAAAGAATTTTCATGAAGAAAAAAAAATCGCAGAAGAGAAGAATCCGAAGGACTCAGCAGAAAGCTGCTGCAAGAAAAGGAGAAGAAAGAACAGCACAGCAATCTCTTTTTTATACCTTTGAATGCCTCCCATCTAGCAGAATAATCTGAAATGTGAAGGGAAAATGAGTCAGCGTTTGATAACTACATTTCGAAGAAACAGCGTTTGACTAGCAGGACTTTCTTTTTCTCGTTCAAACCCTCCTTCTAACAGTGAGTGGACGTTCTGACAACTTTGAACTTTTCTAATGAATGTACGAAAGAGGTTCTCTTCATGTTCCACCCAATAAAAGGCAGTGGGCGGACGGTTACTGCCACCGCTACTGGTGGAAGGGCTGTGAGAGGTCGTTTGGCTACACAGAGCCCTTCCACCAACGACGTTGGCCGCAACCGCCCGCCCCCAGCCATCGTGCCTATTGCCTCAAAAGCTGCCCATGAACAGGCACTGTCAATGAACGTAGAGACTCTTTTCAAGCCACCGGACAATATAAACTCAATCCGGTTGCTGATTATCGGACCAAATAATAGCTTATTTTTCGGGTGAAACTTCCTTGAAACCGTACCAGTTCTTCCTCCCTAACTTCTTCTTTGGCATCCTCTTGTGGGTCTTCCTGAACCTTGACTCGTAGCCCTCCATTCTTTCTAAGCTCATTGATTCGTGCACGAATTATTGCTCCGCGGCACACTGCCTGGAAAACACTGATATTTTTTCAAATTTCGCTTTTTTCATGTAGTTCTGAATATTAAGCCTTTTTACTCAAGAGCTTTGGCGCAGTTCGGTTTAGTGGGGCCATAAAATGGTACTCAGCGAATTCAGCTTGTACAGACCACTTTGTGAAGAGCTATAATTTTCTCCAGTCAAGGTGTTCACTCATACTTCGCAGCCTTTTTAAACCACAGTAGTGAGACTTGTTCGTCAGAATCAACTAACAAAAAGAACTAGCGTTTTATCGAAATGCTTCCCCCCCTAAACCGAACAACGCCAGAATTCCTACTCGTCGTAAGCGTAGGTGGCAAAAGGGGGCCCTTGGCCTCACCTGGAAGTTAATGATGTTGCGTCGTAGACTTTGGTAATGAAGAACGAGTTGACGGGAGCGAAGAACAGCTTGCAGACGGCAGATTCCGGCTATTATCTGAACTGATCCGTTAGATACATCGATACTGAGTCCGGCCACTAGTCGCACAGTGGGCGAACTTAGTAAACGGCGTCATCAGCATGCCTTCTCCTCTGCGCCTTATTGACCGCTTAGGAGGGGAACTATGAAGGTCAAGCCAATGGCTC